TAAAAAATATAAAAGCTTACTTATTAAATCAATACAGGTTACTATTTGTCAATTTTTTGACACCACAATAGTTTCCTGTTTATCAAATCACTATTGTCGCACAAAAAACCCTGGTAAGGCAGTCCTATTCATGTCAACTGGGACGCAGCACCTGCAAAGAACAGATTTGACATCTATACGGATGTAGGTCTATGGCCCCAAACAGCGAGTTCAGGTACATACAACCCACATTGATGTCAAGGTGGGAGCAGTAGCTGTCTTGATGCAGCTACTGCGTGCCAATTGACATCAATGGGACTGTCTGCATGGGTACGTACGGAACACCTGTGCATCCCCTGTACAGTAGACCTCACTGTAATATGCCCTGCGTAAACAAGGCCTTTGGACTTTGGTTGGTGGCAGGAAAAAATGTGCAGTAGAGCTGCATTTTGCTGCCTGCCAAAAAGCCCCTTCTTAAGTTGCAATAGGCAGTGGATGGGTGATTTCTTATTTAGAAACCAGGGAGATTTAGACGCATGTCTAAATCTACCCTGTGTTAATTTACAACTTTTGTAGAGGCACACATTTCTTAATTTTTGGGGGGCTTTGGAGACATCAGGGGTCTAAACACACAGAGCTCTGTCTTTTGAAACGGAGAAAGGGACTGAAGACTGCTGAATGGCACTCCCACACCTCAGCCCACAGTGCAATCACAGCTGCAGGAACTGCAGGGAAACCATATATCAAAGACCATGTGGTTTCCCTGCAGATGGATTTTGGAAAAGGTGCCTGCACAATTGTGGGCCACACTGCCTGTACTAGTGTGAACCTAGCTTTACTATGGTTTGATTTTTTTTTGTTTTTACAGTTTAATTTTTTTTAACCAAAATATAGTTTAATATTTTAATTATGTTTTACATCTTTTTTTTTTTGGGGGGGGGGGGGGGGGGGTTGAAGCTTTATAGAGATATCAGCAATCTAAACATACCTCAATGTCTCCTTTGAGACAGAAAAAAGGAACTGCAGACAGTTCTTTGCAGCCTGTGCTGCACTGATAAATGAGATAGGAGTCTGTATAGACTCCATTCGTTCATAAAATGAAACAGTCTTTATGTTCAATTTACAAGCTGACCGATTGTAAACAATTTACTGTCAGTGAATAATAACTACAGAAGTGATATTGATTGCAGTCTATTAATTGACGAAAGGAAGGGGGCTGGGTAAACATGTTCATCAGCCCCCCTGCTCTCAGGAAAGGGGGCTCCTCCCCAATCTGTCAGCGGCTGCAGCCAGCGGAGGGGGGGGGGGGGGGGGGGTTTAAGGATGGAGAGCCGGCCAGCAGCTGCAGGGAGGGATGTCAAGACAGCATTGGGGCGGGGTGGCATCTGGTCTTGAACATGGATTGCTCTATGGCTACCCTGCAGCACTGAGTCAACAGAAGAGGCAGGAAGCCACAGAGGGATAGGGATTGCGAGAGGGAAGAGGAGTTAGCGTAGGCAGGGCAAGGCAGTGTTAGAGACCGTTAGATGTTGGGGGGGGGGGGGGGCGGCACTTCAGAAAACCAGCCTAGGCGGGTGGAGGCACCGGAGACATGGCAGAGACGTGGTGGCAGGGCATGTGAGGGAGTCACGTTTTAGGTTAATAGCTCTGATCAACAGCTTATTAATCACTAAGGTATTTTGTTCAGAGTCTGCTGAACGCTTCTGCTATAAAAGTTAAAGTTAATGGTCATTGGAGTGACTGAGCTTAGACTAGGAATGCAGGTCTGTATGGTGTATGGACCTGGCCAGCTAGAAGCTGTGCAGTAGGACTGTACGGAAGTGGCAGTGAAAGGGTTAAATAACCTGTGAATTGGAAATTCACATTTCAAATTGTGACTTTGCTTTCCATCTGCTCCATATTCTGACATGTCTGGGGATGCAAACTCATTGCTCTGCAGCCTTTTCCAGCTGATATAGAATCACAAAATCAGCAATTTACAGCCAGCCAAGTGTGGTGGGATTCACCATCCTTACTGTATGCTGTAAAGGACTTATCTGGGTGCTAAAATGAACAATGCAAATAGAAGTGTAGCAAATATGACGACTGTCAATCACCTTGATTAACATATCCATGCAACACTGCTCAAAGCCTCAGCTGCGTACACAACTTCTCAGGGGTGCTAGTAGTTCCACAAAATCCATTGTGATATCTATCTCAGCACATCAGCTGCCGTTGCTCTTAAAGAGACTAGCCCAATTGGGTGACAACAGCCATTTCATCTAACAAATCTATAGAGAGCTTACTGTGCAGCTTCTGTTTTTGGATTTTCATGTCAATGGGAGAGATCACGATGCAGAATACCCTTCTGAAGAAATTTAGCATTGCAGTGATAGTAACATGAATCCATAAAAGTATAAAGTAGAGAGGAGCATCAGAAATCCAACTGCTTCCCTTTCTAGTAACTAGCATGTGCGCCCAATTTGAGTCCAGCTATGCTAGAAGTTGCAAAGCTCCTGAGCGGGAAACAAACACCCAAACACTCTATTGATGTCCCAATAGCACAAACACTGTATAACAAACTCTAGTGACACTTGGTGCATATAAAACATGTTCCAAAAGAAGGAGACCAGCAGAAATCTTCTCTTCACACCTTAAATGAACTGTGCATTCAGTGACCAGTGTAAAAACCTCTCAGACTGAGCACTTGATTGTTTTTTATTAAAAGGGTCACATGCAATTTGTACTCCACCTAATGTGATGTTAACCTCCTTGGCGGTATGATTCTTTCCGATTTTTTGTGCTGAAAGCGGTACCATTTTTTTGTATGGAAATATGTAGTTTATTGTAGGCTGTAATTTTTAGGAATAACTCACTGAAATATGTACGAACAAGAGTCTAGTAAACATTCCGGATATGAAACATGAAATCATAAATTATAATTTAATAAATAATCATAAAACCTATAATAAATTTAATTCAATATAATCAAACCAAAAACGCTGGGGACGCTGCAGGTGACACATCGCGGGGAGCGAAGGACAAGGTAAGTGCTGCAGGAACCCCCTGAGCAACGCCGCATGGTAAGCCCGAGTGTAGCTCGGGGTTACCGCTCTTGGTACTCAAATTTTACCCCGAGCTACACTCGGGAATACCGCCAGGGAGGTTAAAGGCTTTTTTTTCTAATCTCCACCTCAATGCCACCACATGAACTTCCTGAAGTCAGTGTGAGGAAACATCAAGATGGACTTCTGGTAGATCATTTCTTGGGGCAGCTCAGTGGCTAAATGGTTAGCACTTCCACCTGGCAGTACCAAGGGCGTTTGTTCGAATCCCAACCATGGCACCACCTGCCTGGAGTTTGCATGTTCTCCCTGTACCTGTATGAGTTTCCTCCCACACTCCAAAGACATGCTGGTAGGTTAATTGGCCCTAGTATGTGTATGTATGAATGCAAGTTAGGGACTTTAAAATTTAAGCCCCTTGAGGGTTAGGGATAGATGGTGATGCCTCTAATTTCTGGTAATGCAACTTCTGGTATTTGGAACGCACGCCTGCTCCCGGAGTGGTGCATGGTAAAAACTACTGGCTGTATAAGGGCAGATACATGGCACCACCTCTAAAATAAGGGCACATTTCATTGTGCACCGTTTAGAAGATACACCATCAGCACTTCCTCCCTCTGGTATTATATGAGAATGTGGCAGCATTGAGCTGGAGAAATCCTGTCAGAGCAGGTGAGAGCCAGGCTGAATCCAACATAGGAGATGCATTAAGTGCAGTACAAATTGAGTGCTTGTTTACAGCTTTTAATTAAAAATTCACATTCCATCTGGTGAGTGTTGTGTTTCCACTGGTCACTGGGTGAACACAGTTTAAGGTGTGAAAAAAGATGATCTCTGCTGGCTGGGGTTGACATATTTATATGGGAAGTATAGGACCAAGTATAGGACCAAGTATAGGACCAAGTATAGGACCAAGTATAGGACCAAGTATAGGACCAAGTATAGGACCAAGTATAGGACCAAGTATAGGACCAAGTATAGGACCAAGTATAGGACCAAGTATAGGACCAAGTATAGGACCAAGTATAGGACCAAGTATAGGACCAAGTATAGGACCAAGTATAGGACCAAGTATAGGACCAAGTATAGGACCAAGTATAGGACCAAGTATAGGACCAAGTATAGGACCAAGTATAGGACCAAGTATAGGACCAAGTATAGGACCAAGTATAGGACCAAGTATAGGACCAAGTATAGGACCAAGTATAGGACCAAGTATAGGACCAAGTATAGGACCAAGTATAGGACCAAGTATAGGACCAAGTATCACTAGATTTTGTTTGCTATACACAGTGTTTTGTGCTAGTGGGGACAAACAGCATATTTATACAGGTTTCATGATTGTATTTTCGTTGTGGGAATCAAAATCTTGGGCACATACTGGAAACTATCAGCGCCTCCTTTTTTGTTACTTTATATTGATAGGCGTTTTCTGCACTTTTGGTGGCAGCTTACAATTTTATTTTGGTGAACATATTTAAAATTTTAAAAAAGTTTTAAGTTATTGGTTGTGGTGGAGGAGTCATCCCATCATGACTGAAGAAAAACCAGGAAAAGCTTCATGCTTTCCAGTAATGGGGTCTTAGGTTCAATTCACATTGCACTGGGCTCAGTTTGTAGTCCCCACTCCACAATTTAAAACCACACTTAGTTTGACAGCTTTAACCCAAGATTAAAAACACACAATGGGCTGACTATGGCAGGGATACAAACTGTAAGCTGCTTCAAGAGAATCGTATACTAACAAAAAATTGCTTGCGCATAGTGTACTTCCTGGCCATAAATGTCGCATTGGTCTGGTCAATGAACAGATTCTTAGTTCAACCAATATAGCAGTGCTGTTTGCAATTCTGATATTACACTTGAATTCTGCATTTGCACTTTGCAGTCTAAATGTATTAATCACAATTCTGTTTCAAGCAGCATAGCCTGCAGTCTCCCATAGGCGTTTACAAACCACTTTGCTGTGAACACAACTCAGCCACCACTAGGGTGCTGCTTGAACACGAGATTTGCTCTGCCCTGAGCCAAGTGGGCAACTAGTCTTATTTCCAGTACAACAAAATCCAAACTGAACAGCTGGTGGCCACATTGCATGAAATGGCCAGTAAACACAGCAAGGAGTGGAACACAAAGAAAATGAAACTTACGGTCAAGTCCATTTATGTAACGCATCTTGATTTCACAGTGGCCCCAAACTGCGCTGACAACAGGATAGAGTTTCTTTCCCTTTAGTCCTCTAAAAGCAGTGCCCATGTACTGTCCATCAACAATGAAACTCAGCGTACCATCATCCATGTCTAGTACCACCAAGAAAGAATCTGGCACAATGAAGGTTTCATCAGGCTCCAGAAAAGCAGGGTATGTTCTACTTGGCTGATTTTTGCCATCATGGTACAGTTTGTTCCTCCCAAGTCCCAGCCCCAAGACTTGCCATTGCTGCCTATTAGTGTGGTATATCCTACAGAATGTAGTGGTGCATCTGATGTTGCTACACCGACAACGGCATGAGTCCCCCGCTGTCTCATGACCCACGTTATCTCCCATACATGTAAGCCCCGCGTGTAACCAACTTTGCCACGAATGGCATCTGTACTTTGTGCCACCGGATGCCGGTGAAAAACAAGTTTGTCATCTTCTTTGACAAAAACATTGAGCGACCGATCGTTATTATTCCATGAGTGCTGAAGCTGTACTTCATAAGTTACTGATGGCATATCCAATAAGAGGTCCAAACGAGCAGGTTTACAGTAGTCCAGACCCTGGAGATCTTGCTTTAGCGGCCTGTATGGGGGTCCCTCATATCCACTGTCTTTATGCCTCCTGTAACCTTCTGACCCATAATCCAATGCCGGTTTACTCTTATTGTCCCAAAGGCAAGGTCATCCAGATGTTCAGCTCCCTTGTGTTCGCTGCCCAGTAGAAAGTTCCCAGGAGGTTAATGGTTCAGGCCAGGCTTTCCTAGTACAGAAAAAAAAAAAAAAAAGGTTAATGATTGAACAAGAGCATTCCACGTTTACAGTTTAAATAGACACTGGCTACACTGAGCCACAAGTGAAACCAGCGTTGGGACAGAACACTTTGTCCTCACGCAAAAGGATCCTGGGGAGAACAAACAAAAACAAACCAAAAAAAAAAAAAAAACAAACAAAACACCACACAATTTTATGGAAGGCAATCTCCTTACATAGGTAAACTGCCCAGCTACTTTTACACAGGAACCCCTACTGGACAGCAAAGCCAGGGTCTACCTTCTACTGCAGGAACATCATCATTCCAAATGGATAAAAGGAAAAGCAGCACACTGTCAGTACTATAGCAGAAACCAACTGGCTCCTAGCGTCAAAACTCCATTTCTTCGTTAATTGACTTTAGTACTTTTAAGTATATACAGGTACTGAATGTTTACGGAGGACAAACTTTGTTTTATCTATGTTTGAGGTAAACTTTAAAAGCACATACAATACAGCTTATGAAAAGTTATTTGCATTTGAAACGATATTTGAGTTTAAAGCAGTATTAAAAACACAAACCCACTGCAGCTTACAGATGCAATGGCTGCATTTCTCTCTCCCCCTCCCCCACTTGTTTTCACTTGGTGATCTGGCCAGTACCAGATTAATAAGCTGCAATATACATTTTTAGTTTTGGGTTTAACCACTTGCCTACCGGGCACTTTTATCCCCCCACTATGCCCAGGCCAATTTTTAGCTTTCAGCGCTGTCGCATTGTGAATGACAATTGCACAGCAAGCAACACTGTACCCATATGAAAAGTTTATTTTTTTTCACACAAATAGAGCTTTCCTTTGGTGGTATTCAATTGCCACTGGTTTTTTTTCCCGCATTATAAACAAACAAAATTGGAAAAAAAAAAAAAAAAAAAAAAAGTGTTTCCATTATAAAATTTTGCAAACGGGTACATTTTTCTACCTAACTGATGTGCGTTGAGGCGGCATGGATGGGCACTAAGGCAGCGGCACGGATTATGCTGCAATGATGGGCACAACTGCTGGGCAGCACTGATCAGGGCCAATCTGCTGTGACAGCTGCCAGTTATCGGCAGTACTTTCCTCATACTGTGACAGCGTGAGGAAAGTGCTGCCAATAACATGCAACTGTATTTACCTGGTGATCTTCTGTATCATGGAGATCGCCAGGTGTGCACCGTGGGGGGGCATGCGGGAGCAAGTCATATGATGATGACCTCCCAGAGCTGGACAACCACTCTGTAGCAGTCATTTGACTATAGCGCAGTAAGCATGTGGTTAATATCACTTTGGAAAAGTCAAGTTTGAGAACTATATTTGTGTTTTGAGCTTCTGTACTACTTTATACTTTTTTCAAACTGCTGAAAGCCAGAGAGACTGTTGCTATGATTATTGCACAAAACTGCACTTTGCATTATTTAAGTCACTTTCTCCACAGGCTGTATTAGGGAATCATGTTACTGACCACATCACTGACAGTCACCAAATCCCACTTTAGTTCCTTATTTGCGCAGCTGCTGCTGACTCAATAGCACAAAAATGAAGAATCATTAACTTTATATTTAACATTGTTTAGCAACACATACTATTTGACATACTCTAAGGCAACTTACCGGATCGAACTTAAAAAAAAATAAATGTATAGATATATACAACGTGATCGTAAACCCCGGACCCTGCATTCACTATATCTGGTCTCCCACAGTACACAACAAGGAAGTGCTATTATTTTAGTAAATATAGAACTGCTAAATACCTTTTCTCATCACTAGTTAGAGCATTCTTGTGACTTTAGCTGAATATCGGTTAAAGCTTGTAGATTTCTTTCTGCTCTAGGATGCAAAATCCCTGAACCTCTGGACAGTGCTGACTGGCCTTGTGCTGATTACATGCACTCCCAAAAAAAAAAAAACCTCTAGCAATACACACTAAACAGAGCATGTGGCTATGGGTTCAGTCTTTCAGTCTCTTATCAGGTGGACATATGAACAAGGAGGGGCAGAGAAAACAGGACCCCAGGGCCTTTTAACACAATGCGGAGGATTAACCCCTTAGGTTTCACAGTGAGTACAACAAGCATGCTTTACTGCATATACAGACTGATTTTACGGTTGTGGGTTTAGTAACACTTTGGAAGGTATGAAAATATGTAAGACAATTTATGTTCACTTTGGAAAATAGAGGGTAAGGGTTAGATCCTCTGACAAGTTTGTTGTGTTCCTAAGATTGACCCCTCTGTTCTGGTGACCAAGGTCACAGGCCTTTAAAGAGTGTAAGCCTAAAACAAAACCCCACACCAAAACTGGTTGATAAAGCCAGAAATCCAGTGAGCTCCCAGCTTTTGGTAGTGGGCTGGCAAAACTGGACTTTGCCTTTCATCTAGGAAGAACTTTGGTAGGGCTGACAACACTGCTTGGCACACTTTCCTCTTATAGAGGTTATGAGAGGGACTCTTGAGGCCTGACAGCAATGCTTGGGATTAGAGTGCAGCATAACCAAGATTAATGGGTACATCTTTGTACCTGCGTCATTTTTAGAGAGACAAAACATGGACAAATGTGCATGTATTGCAACAGTGTACTAAATTTCAAAAACACCTCAACACTGGCTTAGTTACAGGACACAGGAAAGGCCAGTTGTGCTAGTGTGCCTGTCCAATATTAAATTGGTAAACTCTGCGCAGACAAAAATGGGATCTGTAGGCTGCTGCTAGTAACAGGGCAGGAAGATTATAAATCGATTCGGATGCTGCGCTACCAATCTGATAGCTATGGGAAATAGTATAAAAATGTTGTGAACACCTCAGAATTCGAAAGTACCAGTTAAAGTGAATTCAAACCAGTGTGCGGTCCAAATAAAACGTGACATGCTACAATACACCTCCCTCCCCAATGAAGATGCATGTATAGTACTCCATGATGTGACAAAACATTTTTTTTTTAGGTTTTTATATCATATGGTATTTCCCATAGCTTATAGGATTGGCAGCACAGCATCCCATTTTATTTGCACCTATCCAATACCTTTAAAATTTTAATTGATAACTCAGAAAAGTTGATTTTTCCTTCATGCATGCCAATACCAGGTCACTGAAAACTGAAGGCAACAGATGAGAAAAACAAGCAAAGGATTTTCAAAATGAAGTCAGCGACAAGCAATCCATAGCCATCTTCACGGATTTCCTTTAAAGCAGAACTCCAACCAAAAGGGCATCACCAACAATCCAGATTTTTCCTGCAGTACTTTTCTGCTGCCGTTTGCCCTTGGAATCTGTAAAAATTATGCTGGCCTTCAGACTGTCACTAGCTTTGCAAGTAAAAGCACAAAAACTAACAGTAGGCTTACTGGTAACCATTTCCAGGACAGCCCACGAGATGTGGCACTCCTCCCCACGGGAGAGAAACAGGTTGCTCTAAAAAAAAAAAAAAAAAAAAAAAAAAAAAAAAAAAAAAGGTGGTACTCCAGGCCCCAACCTCTAATCTACAAGAACCAAAGGGCAGACCTGGAAAACAGAACACAAAATACTACGCAAAGGGTGGGAATCTGGCTGTCCTGGAAATAGAGTTACCAGTAAGCCTATTTTCCCCAAGTTGCCTTCCAGGACAGCGCACAAGACGGTAAGCAAGAACTTACCAGCCTAGAATGGGACCACAGCCTGGGAGGACTTTACGCCTAAAAGCTTGCTTGTTACTATTCAAAAAGATCCAAACTATAGTTCCTAATAAATGTAAAAAAAAAAGTCAACCAAGTGGCTGCCCAATATATCTGTTCTGGGGAAGAGTCAGCACTCTGCCCAAGACATAGATAAGGCCGTATTGGAATGCACATTTACAAAGAGCACATACATATCTTTAGTATGGTAGCACAATAGCCTGCTTGATTAACAACTTGCCTACCGGGCACTTTTACCCCCTTTCTGCCTAGGCCAATTTTCAGCTTTCAGCACTGTCACATTTTGAATGACAATTGCACGGTCATGCAACAACTGCATCCAAACAATTTTTATCATTGTTTTGAGACAAATATAGCTTTCTTTTGGTGGTATTTATTCACCAGTGGGTTTTTTATATTTTTTGCTAAACTAAAAGCCTGAAACATTTGTAAAAAAAGTTTTTCGTTTCGGTTATAAAATTTTGTAAAGTAATTTTTCTCCTTCACCGATGTGTGCTAATGAGGCTGCACTGGACACTGAGGCATCAGTGCCCTGATGATCAGTGTATATGCCCCCTCTGAGGAATGCCACTTATCGGCTCTCCTCATGCTGTCAGCGTGAGAAGAGGATTGCCGATAACCGGCATTTCCTGTTTAACAAGTGATTGGACACCGCTGATCACGACAGCCTGTGTCATCAGCTCTTTACTGTGTTCAGCGATCTGAACTTGGTAATCAAATATTGAGTGATAAACCAGTAAATATCTATAAAACTGGTTTTAGTATGCAGTCCCAGTATGTGAAAATAAAGTGGAAACGTGCTAGATTGATTGTGAACTCAGTATTAAAGCGACAAGTGCTTCACAGTGCTCAAACTGGTGCCCCACATGGATTTGCACTCACCGTC